CCCCGGGCTCCCAGCCAGCGCGGCGTCGCGTCGCGGAGGGCCCTTGGTTCATTGGCGGAGGAGGGGCGATCGACTCGGTCATTCCCTCAGGCGAACCGCCTTCTCTCATATGGATAATGTTTTCACGACAGGTTTAAGAGATTCTAGAAGATAATAGGGCTTTATGTCAGTAAAAGGTTTGAATGGAATAACAAGTATCGGAATAGATCATGTAAATTTCTATTTTGATCGTTATGTTCCTCGGAGTCACTAGTTTGCTTCATACAATATTACCCTTCCCTTTTTCTCTAAATAAAATTCTTTGACCGCTACCAGGGATTGAATGCGATACTTGTGGCATGATGTCACTAAAATTACATTATAATGTGCATATTAATAACAAAATTTCATGACTACAATGCTGGACATAATTACAATATTCATTTTATATTGCAACATACTTATTTACAATTATAATTTTGAATACCGTTTGCATTTCTTTCCGCATAAAATATTCAGAACGAGAATATGTGATTAACAAAAATACCGCGAAATCTATTAAAGATTCAAAAATCAATTAGTATTATTTAAATACTTTTTGAAAATAGTAGCATCGTATTACCCAAGTTCTACCGAACGTGTTAATTTGATGCAATTCTTCGCATTGGATAAGAAATACACTTTTCATTGATCTTCAGCGCTGCATTGCTCTTTCGCATTTTTTAGGAAACTGCTGATTCCTTTCCTGCATATGCAGATTCATTGCCGTTTGGTCACAGTAACTGTAACGTCTGCATACGAGAGAACAATTCTCATTCTAGAACATCAACCTCTCCATTTATTTCTAACGGCCATAAAAAGAGAGGATGCGAAGCTACGCCAGTTTATGTAACAGCACCGACATTGGTCTGAATTGAGTGGAAAACTTGCAGAAAATGAACTTCCAGATCTGTTGACCTGGAATTTGAAACTGCTAACTATCTGAAAGCTCACAAGCCGTAGGGGTCTCTTCTTTAGTGTCTGCCGATTCGATATCCCATCCTCTAACCTCTCCTGTGTCTGTGGCTCATCTCTCTCTCTCTCTCTCTCCCTCTCTCCCTCTCCCTCTCTCCCTCTCTCCCTCTCCCCCTCTCTCTCTCTCTCCACCACTGCCCTGTGCTAACTTGTCTCGACTTCCTGCCCCCGCTTGCCGCCTCCGCGGCCGTCGCCCCGCACGTCTCCCTCTGCGCTTCGGAAATTGGTTTCCTCGTAAGTGCGCTTAGCGGTAGACGCGGATCGGAATATACGCCGTGTTGGTCAATTGAAAAGCCTCTGACTCTGCTCTAGAAGGACTCTGAGAGCTCAGGAAAGTTGAGCGCCACCGTCCAAGATGTCCAATATCTTTTGTTATTTTTCGCTCCAACGTCAAGTGGCGGAGTTGCGGGCACCGTGCAGGGAGCTGCTGCAGCTCGGTTTGGTTTTGAGGGATGGCGGGAGAAAGTAAGGGGGCGGGAAGTAAGACGAGGGGTTTGGCGGGGGAGTGGGGGCACGTAGAAACGGAGAGCGAAGAAAAACGTCTAGACGCTCTAGTGGGTGGGCGGACTGAGGGATGACGTGTACCGCAGTCGCCTTTTAGTTTAGCCTCGAGGACTCAATATTCTCGTCAATAAGATACATAAGCAAGAAACCTTCCCATGGGCCCAACATGTAGCAGGGTTATATTTAAAAGGTGTAATGGAGTAGCGTAAATGCAGATCACTTTGTCCCACACTTGGTATTGATTACAACAACTATTTTCATATTAGGTTTGCTTCAGTAGTGAGCAAACTTGAGAAACAACTTGTGGCATCGCCAGCCAGTTCTACATGATCCTCTGGTATTCATTGTGGGCACTGGTGGTTCAGCCATTTTCCATTTGGAACAACGTAATATCACAGGACCAAAGTAACCCATTTTATGATAATTAACCATTTTTATTTTAGAGAATGAGTAAATACCATGCACAGAATGAACATTATTATGAGTAATATTGACATTATGCAATTTTTGTATTTTGACGTAAAAGAAACTCGTGCGTCTACTTCCATTCATCAAATTTTTACACACTGACTAACAAGCGACTTTTTTCTTGTGTTGCAGTCCACGGGCAACATCTTGAGCTTCTGCGACGTGGGGCTGAAGATCTCGGGCGTTGTGCCCATCAGCAGCCACGCGGCCCTGCATTTGCCCAACACGTCGCTGACGGCCGTCGCGGCCGCCACCACCGAGCGCCACACCGTCGCCTTCCTCGGCACCAGCGACGGCGTCATCAAGAAGGTAGGCGCTTGCCAGCATGCATCGCACTCTGTAGAGAGTGTTGATGGGCCCACTGACTCCAGCAGAGAGACAGAGACAGAGAGAGAGAAAGAGAGAGGGGGGAGAGAATTTGGAACTAGGTTGATTATTAGAATCAGATGTAGTGCAAGTTTGATGAAATATCATTATTTACTGACCGCTAATATGCACATAAATACGGATTGCGATTGTCGTTTGTTTAAAATTTTGATAACATTCAAAAACATGAAAGGTTTTATCCGTTTTTGTAACTCATGTCTGTTGCTCTTAGGTTTTTAATGGGTAGGAACGTTTCAGTTATCTTACATTTTGAAATTATATAATATCCTGTTAGGTCTAATATGCTTCTGCCCATTGTGACTGAGTCCTTTATTTTCAGTGTTCTTAAATTACGAAGATTTACATTATTTTAATCGTCTCTTCGTTATAACTCTCCTTCCAAGAAATCGTTGAATTTATTCTCTTGTATTATGTGTGTTACCCAGAACAAATATAAGGTATTTCGGTTTCATAATTGAACGTTAGAAAAAAGTTAGAGAAACATTGTGCGCTCACAATGTACACATGATATCTGAGTACACTGAACACCAAATTCGAGAAAACAAGTCTGGCCTAAAGCGATTACATTGACGACTACATCGTGATTAATTTTTCAATGAATGCAAAACATTCCCATTAATAGTCATGCTGATGACGTTAATTTACACAAAACGTTTATTAATAAAAAAGACACATGCGATATTTCCATGCATATTGTTATCAGGAAATTAATAAACCAATATTTAGTTCAAATTTAATTACATACGCTTGATTTAAATTATATGTAACACAGAACCATACATCATACAATGAAGTTTCTGGGTTTAAGAAAATCCTATTAACTATCACATTTTTTCAATTTCAACTGTGTGACCTATAATTATAATTATCCAAAGTTAATGTATTGACACACAGTTGAAGAATGTTAACAGAATTAATCTTTCCGAGTACCACCGAAGACTGTTCCTTGGGAGGATAGTTCCAAGAGCAAGACATGATCGAAATAGTTAAGCGTTGAGATTAAACTGACGAAGAAATAAAGAGCCAATAACGCTACTTGCATTTTCGCGTAATTCCAACAGTGCTTTTAGCGAAATAGAGTAAAAGCGGCTCCACACTGCGGCATTCGGTGAATCTAGAGCAACCGCCCGGCGAATCCCGAGTAGTGTGGACGAGTTGCTTGCGATTCGCCGAGCGTGGAGCGTTTGGCCACCGCGTGTCGATCTTTAGGACACATCAAAGAGACTGAACATTCGCCGAACACATCAGCTGCTCCGGATTGGGCGAGCAGTAGCTCGCTGCTCGGCGAACGCCGAATGCGTGGAGCCGCCTTTAAAGATATTAAATAGAGAAAAGTACATGTTGTCTTTCGCTCGCGAGGAACATTAGTGTAACTAAATGAGCGGCGCCAGCGCGGCGCTAGTGTGTCGCGAGCGTGTCGCGAGCGTGTCGCAAGCGTGTCGCGAGCGTGTCACGAGCGTGTCACGAGCGTGGCGCGAGAGTGGCGCGAGAGTGGCTCGAGAGTGGCTCGAGAGTGGCTCGAGAGTGGCTCGAGAGTGGCGCGAGAGTGGCGCGAGAGTGGCTCGAGCGTGGCGCGAGCGTGGCTCGAGAGTGGCTCGAGAGTGGCTCGAGAGTGGCTAGAGAGTGGCGCGAGAGTGGCGCGAGAGTGGCGCGAGCGGGGCGCGAGCGGGGCGCGAGCGGAGCGCGAGCGGGGCGCGAGCGGAGCGCCTGCGGACCCAAGCGCACTCTGAAATCCCAGAAAACGCTCGACGAGGAGGCGACGCGGCGCGGTATAGGAGCAGCGCGCATCCGAGCGACACGGCGTACGGCGGTGGCCCCGTGCCGCGCCGGGGGAGTGGCGGGCGCGCGGGGCGACGCAAATTAAACTGAAACATGACCGCGTTGTGGCGGGCTCGACGGACTTTTATTGCTTTCCCTGCTTTGTTTTACGTACACGCAAATACGCCTCGGTTCTGAGCCCGCGCGGCTTCCTTTGTAAACGGCTCGCTCATCAGACGATGCAATTAATGAAATTAATAGGGGTGGTGTATAAAGGAAGACCCGCCGTGTAGGTAGTTTTGGTGGTAACGTATTTTTATCTCGAACTATGACACGGAGTACACCTGCTGCTAGGTATCGGTTTTCTGCATTAGTATATGCACGTGTTTGCGAAGATCTGTCGTTTATGGATTTTTTCATGTTGCTTTCTCTCGTTAGCGCGTTCGTGTAAGGCTGGGGCTTTCAATGCCGTGTTGCTGCCTGAAGAAATGCCGTGGAAATCTGTTGAATATTTAATTGCCACTTTTATGGCGTTGTCTCATCTTTGCGTGCGCCAGAAAATCGTGCATTACTGGCGTGGAGATATTGGTGGAGAACATTTTGCTTGATGTGCTCTCATCATGTACAGAGAAGCTTTTCCTTTAATATTGCAAAAACGTATTATCTTCTTTTGTGTGATGCATTAAATTCACGAATTATATATTACTTGCCGGTTTGGTTCGTGTTCTTACTGTTGGGTCGTTCTGCAGGGATTTATTTTCCTTAGTAAGATAATTTACAGTCCAATTTTTCATGCAATTACTGCTCCAATTTCAGTGTGACGTCGAACACATTTGTCAATAGTTTGCAAGTTATCTTATTTGGCGTTGTGTGGAAACTGTTGCAGAGAAATTATCCTCATAGTGTTTCCCGAATTAAATTCATACGAGCTATCTGCAATCGTGTAGTCTTGGGGACTGCGCGACAAATCTTCCGTTTCCGGTTTTTCGTTCGATTTACACTCCCACCACAGAACGAAGCCAATCGGTTGATTCAGTGCTTTCAATCGGATAAAAGGCATTACGCTTCCATAAAGTAATGAGTGCCTGCGCAGTCCCTAAATTTACTTGTGAGCACATGCCTTTCTGAAAACGCGTTTGACGCCTTATTGGGTGCCAAGCACGAATCTCAACAGCTGTGTCTACCCGGTGTTGCCGCCGAGGTTTTTGCGATATAGTAGCCGACCCGCCGAAAACATATCGAAGACACGAAATATGGACTATAAATTCTGTATTAATTAGCAATAACGCAAAAGGGAGAGGACGAGTTGGTTACTCGAAAAAAAAGAGAGACTGGCAATGTGCGGGCGTTATGAACGTAACAGACCGTTCTGCCAAAAACGTAAATCTTAGGGGGGTCAGATTGTGTCCGCAACGCGGAAAGAAAGGGTGGGAGCAAAATGGCGGCGGCGTGAAAAATTAAAAGCGGGCGTTAATCTCTCCATGTTCCGTCTGCGGCGAGAGTAATTGGAGACGGTGGTGCAGGCAGTCCGCCGCCCTGGCAAACACCAGTCACCCCGAGCACTACCCTTTTGGCTTCCAACCGTCGCAGCCGCCGCCGCCGATGGCTTTCTCTCGTGTTTTGCCTGTTTTTTGCCAAACCGCGATGGCGTATGGACATCGCTTCTCCGAGCCTGACAATAGCGCACTCCATTTTTATGGGCGCTCGCGAGGAAACGTGCTTGCAGGGGAAAAAAGATGACGTGTCTGGAAATAGAGTGCGTGTGCGAGGAAACTGCGTTGTATATATCCGTTAAAACGCCATCCGATGAGCAAGATGAAACAGAAAGATGATCGAAATTTCCGAAAATCGCAATAAAATGCCGAAAAGTGAAAGCTGAAACCGAATAGCCCATATGCTTTCGTCGGTCCTGTTTATGGAGATGTAATTGTGAATGATTCACTGAAAATTCAAAATAAGTGTTTGTTGTTGGAAATTATGGAAGTGCATGAGAGTATTTTTGTGTGCATATACACTTACGAGAAATCTATAAAGTAAATAAAGTTACAAAGATAAAAATGTCGAAATATTCTGTAGAAACAAATTAAAAACTTGATAAATCTCTCTACTTCGGAGCAAGATAAAAAGTAAATTTAGTTACCATATTAACCCAAAAAATTCAATTTTCTAGTTGGGAACTGTATAGTTATGAATCCTATTTATAAATCTCTCAAAACTATTTCTATCCCAGTGTATTCCTTTTTACAGAATATGAACTTTAACTTTTCTACATTACTGTGTCAACACACTTCTACTACAGGAAACCCCTTCTGCATTCTTCTTCAAGACGTTGTGTGAAATAAGAGAACAGTAGAGCAAAGTCGACATAGTCATAGCCACATCAGTGGGCGGAAGCAGGAGCAAAATGGAGTGAGCTGAGTGCACGAGCCGACTACACCGTCGTTCTGCCTTATAACGCAGGGGTCGGCAACGTGCCCCGCCCACGAGTCAGAACTCAGGACTTAGAAATACAATGATCCGCTTTTAAGTTAATGTCTCGTTACTGTAGAAGTTTCTGGATGTTGTAAACTGAAGTTTGTTGCACTAAACTATTCTTTCACTTAAACAATAATTAAAGTAGTTTTAACTCTCACGAAAATGTATTCGGCTGTAGTAAAATCTGAGAGGAAATTCATTGATTAATCGTTTCCCGTGTATTCATGCATACTCTAAAATCCTTGTGCAGCATTCGGGAAGGTGCCAACCGCAGATACACGCGCCTTGCTAAATCTTATAGAAGCTGCGCGTTTAACTATTGAGAGCATGAATTAATAAAGCCATTGTGAATTAGCCATGAAGTCTAGCGCTAGGAGAGCGTACTGTTTACGTAAATGTAGAATTCCTGGGTTTGAATAAGCCTCGAAATGGGTGTTTTCATTTCCGAGAACCTCGGTTCTAAGCACAATGTACACAAAAAGCTGCGGAGAGCTCTTCAATTTTTTTTAAAATTATTCAACATAGATTGGTTTGATATTTTGTTTTACATTATCACTAATTCTGTAAAGCGCATTCACTGGATTGAAAAAATAGTGATTTATATGAAATTTACACTTTGATTAGCACACGTGTTTAGCATTCAGTATTTCAAATAATTATTGAAGTACTCTTGTAACGTATATTATCCATTGTAGCAATAAACGCTTTCTTCATTATTTCCGATGTTCACGCAAGGCGTGCTTGGCGTACCTTTCGCCTGGCGTGCACACAACCTCAAATTCCCGGGCGGGCGGCGCCGGCGCTAGAGCGAGCGGCAGCGAGGCGCGAGACGGCGCGGCCCGGCGCGAGGCCATTGTTGGCGACCCCTGCTGTAATGTCTCCGGAGAACATCTCCTTGGCGGAGCGCGTCAAGGGCCGGGCCATCTCGGAAACAAAAGTCTTGCGGAGCTCTGTGCTCCCTCGACAGCCCTCGCACGGCGCTCTTCACCGGGCGGAGTTGTCAAAAATTCAGCGTTTCCCGTCCCCGCTCGCGAGCGGAAGCGCCTGTCTAATGGGGGCGCTGTCTGGGCCGCCGCCGCCCCCGCCCCCGGCGCCGCTGATTCCCTGGCGAAGAAAGCACTCCGCGCGGAGTACGAAGCGGGGAACGGGCTCCGCTGCGGTAATGCGTCTGGGAAGAGCGGAGGTGGCAAGCCCTGGGAACAGCGGCCCGGTGCGGAGCCGACAAGTCGCGATGAAATTATGTCAGTTCGTCATACTTGTTTTCTGTATTTCTTGATACTGTTCGAATCGCCTGTAACGTACGAAGGAAACGGATTTATATCAAATGAAGACCACTGCGTCCACAGAGGATTTCTTTTTTCCCCGCTAGCCATGTGCCCCACGAGCATTCTATATCTCTACATTATGCCTAGTTTTTGTTTGATTATGCACAGAAAGAGACACATAGTTACATTCTGCAAGCCATTTTAGTGCAGTATGCGTAGTGTTTGGTCGTGTTCATAAACTTAAGGTATATAATGTATTTGTAGATAAATTAAGAAGAAAATGTAAAAAAGATAAGATGAGATAAATTATTTGCGTGATTTGTTTTGAAAGCTCTTCATTTGATAAAATTTAACGTATGAAAAATTCAAAAAAACTACAACAGATTTTAAATGAAATCTCAACTGTAATTTGTCAATCAACTCGAATATTACGTATTTATGTAATTAACGTAATATAGACCAAATGCAATAAAATTCACAAATCGTAGTATTACTTTAATCCTCCTCCTTTGCCGATTATTTGGTAACGGTGAATCATTAACGAATATTATTTTTGGATCGCTCCTTTCATTTTATCTTAAATCGACCGCCTCAGAATTTTTACTATACTCTACCAGGAAACACGTAATAGAACTCTCTTTATGAAGCTTCGATTTCAAAATAGTTTTTTATATTTTAAACGATTTCGATCGTTAAAAATTAAAACACTGTAACATCGACATTAAAGGATGACAGAACAGCGAAATGTTTATTTGATAGTTGTACGAAATCGTGAGGTTTGCAGCTAATACGTATTTTGTAAACAGAATCTGATGGCGATGTGTATTGTTGCCGACGCTCTGCCTGCGATGTGTTGCTGTGGAGGAGTTTAGATAAGAGACGATAGCCTGCGGCACTTTTAGCCTCCTCGTTAAGTCGCAGCGACACAAAGGAGAGCGTGGTTGCAATGCACCTTGCGCTTGTCTCGTGGGACACAATGAGCTGTGTGCAGACGGTCGGGCAGTCGATCCGCGAAGCGGTTCGTTTCTCCAACCAACGGAATTCAGCGCCATTTTTTAACAAAAAGACCGTCTGTGACTCGTGACGGCGGCAGTAGCAGACGTAGTTACTCAGGACGGGGTACTCTCTAATCGAGATCTTTAGACCTGATCGTGTCCGCTCTCTACGGCGATGGGAAAAACAACTGCACCAAACGAGCTGTATGCGATAGTGCGTTTGTACGTCCCAAGGCTTCATTTTCAGTATTTTCACTCTCCCGTACCACAGCCAGAAACGCGCCTAGCAGTGAAATTGTTCTACCCTGTTACATATCCTGTACCATAAATTATATATTTAATTATCGATGAGTCAGAAGAATATGTAAAAATTATATTTTTCTTATGATCAGAGAAAATTCAAGATGATTTACCGAACACGATTTGCAATAGGTTATCTCGAAAGTCAGTCACTCGTTCGTAAATAAATCTGAAATGCTTTTTTGTTACGTTTGCTTCATCATCTTACATATAATTGACATGATTTTCAGTGCACAGATATTTTATTTGAAAATGTATTAATAAGTGTGTATAGATGATTGGTCACATTAAATCTTTGCGCTTTGATAAATCGATTTCAGTGTTTTCGTTGTTGTTGGTATTTTTGATGCTTTGGTGTATTGTTCGCATGACATTATGTTCATTGGATCTATAGCCCCTTTGGAAGAGAATCGCACACAAATTCGCTCTCATCTTTCTGGAGCTCTCTCTTTGCAGTTTGTGGGATTGCAACCTACGCTCGCGCTGCAAAGACCTGAACAAACAATTTCAGATAATAGAGCTGTGCATCGGTGACTGATCCAGGCTGAATTAATGCTATCTTTCCATCTGTTA